AAGCTATTTTTTCCGTTAGATCTATCCTAGAGTTCGTACTAGAATAACACCAAAGCATATTCATATTCATAATACTCAATCCACACAAAGAACTACAAAGAGACCCCAAAGTTTCTATCGGAGAAAAGATAATAAAAACATGCATCAACCCCTATGCATAGATTACCCCAATATCACCACGGGAACCCGCAAGTTGAGTACCATAACGTATATCAAGTGAATCAATATGATACCTTATTGTCACCTCAAGTATTCATGCCACAAGACATACATCATGTGTTCTCATATCTGAATATTCAATCCGACAAGACAAAAATTCAAAGGGTAAAGACTCAATTCATCACAACAAGGGTATAGAGGGGAGAAACATCATATGATCTGACTATATTAACAAAGCCCATGATATAGATCACGAGAGAGAGAGAGAGAGAGAGATTAAACACATAGCTACTGTTACAAACCTTCAGCCACGAGGGTGGACTACTCCCTCCTCATCGTGGTGGCCGCCGGGACGATGAAGATGGCCACCGGAGATGATTCCCCCTTCCGGCAGGGTGCCGAAACGGGTCTAGATTGGTTTTCGGTGGCTATGGAGCCCTGCGGCGGCGGAACTTCTGATCTAGGTTAACCCCGCGTTGTTTTGGAATATTTGGGAATTTATAATGCACGGAAGGGGTACGGGAGGCCATCGAGGTGGGCACAACCCACCTGGGCACGCCAGGGGGTCCTAGCGCGCCTTGGTGGGTTGTGCCCCCCCCCCTCGGGGCACCCCGTAGGTGCTGCTCTGGCCCATCGGGAGTCTTCTGGTCCATAAAAATCCACAAAAAGTTTTGCGGTGTTTGGACTCTGTTTAGTATTGATTTTCTGCGATGTAAAAAGCAAGCAAAAAACAGCAACTGGCACTGGGCACTGGGTCAATAGGTTAGTCCCAAAAAATGATATAAAGTTGCTATAAAATGATTGTAAAACATCCACGAATGATAAAATAACAGCATGAATACTTCATTAATTATAGATATGTTGGAGACGTATCAGTCGGCGGCACCGGCAGAGGTTGACAGCGGTGGTGTGCTCCGCTGGCGCTGGGCCTTGCGGGGGCTGG